TCATCATAATGATGTGATTGTGATGCTGTATTTCTGAGTGTTTTATGTGCTGCAGAACAGGAACCTGCTGTAAAACAGAAAATATGCTGAGTCAGGCTTGATTTTTAATAATCTTTTCCTGTTGAATCAATAAATCAAATCAAATCAAATTCAATGCCGGAACAAGCAAATGTTTAATTAAACATCCATAAATAATTAATTTCTCTAAATATAATGTAATAAAGTAAAACATACAGATATGAAAATTGTGAACAATAAAAAACAAAAAAATTATCTTAAAAAAGTCAGTGTAATATCAACTGATAAAATATTTAGAAATCATTTGTTTTAGTTATTTGGCTTCAAGCCTGCAGCTTCATTTGAATGTAAAATAACTACTAAATTATTAAAGGGAAGTGTTTTTATTTCTGTTTCATGAATATACTGTATTCTGATACCATCACTGTCACACACATCAACAGGTTATTTTAGCTTTTTTATCACCTAACATTGAACTATGGAGGTGAAAAGTCAAACTACACATCAACACAATCCTTATCATTTAGTCTTACTCATGTTTTCAGGATGACGTTATGGCTCATTTGTCACTATTTAATCATACTGTAGTAGTAGATAAGTAATTGACAAAAAAGTTTTAGTGTATTTAACCAATAATTGCTAAAAAGCAAAAAGGTTTTTGAGGCTGTTTGGAAGTTTTACATAAAATAGTTCAGATTGATAAATGTGAAATGAATTTATCTTTACTGATGCTACTTTAGAGTTACCACCATTTTTTGTTTGTTTGTTTTCTGCAGGGTTGAATGTCGGGTGCTTCTATGCTATTTCTACACTGTTGAACCAGATGATAATAGAACACTATCCTGTAAGTGCTCATTTGCGCCTTTAAATACTTTCATGTATTTTTAAGCATTGTGTTTATTGTATTTTTGTAAAACTTCTTTAACTTCTAGACTTTGTTTTATTTCAGCTGAGCCTGTAAATGTTTGTGAGACTTCTTTATGTTGACCCTCATGAAGATAAGGATCTGGTGTTTTCAAAGTGTCATGTTCAAACACCTGACGAGCCACGGGTGTTACGAGTTTTCTGATACGGTCTTTAAAMCGAAGATGTCAATGATTTTTCTCTCAGGGTGAAGAAGTGAATGCTGGGAGAATTGGCCTGACCATTGTGGTTGCTGGCATGGCAGGGTCCCTCATATGTGGCATTTGGCTTGACAAGACCAAAACTTACAAGTGAGATCTTTTTTTAAATATTTATATAATAATAAGTAATTTCAGTTTTAAAATCTGCACAAAAACAAGCCCAACAGATTCTTTTCGATATTAAAAAATAAACTAAAACCCTGTCCAACATGTAAAATGATGAATGTACAAGACAAATTTTGTTTGAAACTAAAAGTTTCTTTTAAAAATAAAAAAACAAAACAAGTCATATTATTGCTCCCTACAGAGTGAAAGGCCTCATTTGGATTTAAAGAGACAGCCTCAAAATGAATTGATCTGAGGCACACCTCAGAAAAAGGGTGAAAGAGGGGCTTGTGGAGTTACAATAAGGATTTCAAACCAAATCGTTTCAGTTCCACTTGACATAGACCCCAACTGAATGATTTAAATGTGAAAAAGAAGGATTTAAAAGTATAATATGACTCATTTAAACAGCCTGGAGTCCAGTGTTGGTATCTAATKTTGATGCTGTAGTTTTTCATTTGAATCAAACTGATAATTGCTTTCACTCCCTTTTGTTTAAAAAAGGTAACTGTCTCTGTTTATTGTCAACCRTTGGTTATAAGGGAAGATGTTTTGCTGCTTCCTGTAATGAAGCGTAAAAATTGCTGTGACAAGTTAAAATCCTTCATCCTCAGATTCCTCACATGCCAGTAAGGATGCTGAGCTGTCAGARCTGTTTGGCTCCGATTTAGAAAATGTGGACCCTTTCATATTTATTGTCCTGAGTTAAATATTTCCTAGATTAACAAAAAAACATTTCACAGCTTGTTTCACGGGTTTTACGCATGATTGTACAGGAAACAGCTCTGTCAGAGTAAGCCTGTTGTTTTTGCAAAAGCTCCTCAGTGGCCCAGAAATACTGTTTTTGATTAATTCAAACTGTTTTAATGCAAACATTACCATAAMGCACCAAGTTATTCCCCATTAGCAGTTCTTGTACTTTAACTTACTTGAATTTAAACAGCTATGACTTATGCAAAAGTGAATCTTTTCAGTAAACTGTTTAATAAAAGATAAAGTAAGTGTTTCTTGTTCTGATTAGATTTAGAAAATATTTAGGGAACTTTCTTTCCACGTGAATGGAAATTTTGAATCATCTGAGCTTTTAGAGACACATCAGTGTTCAGTTTTAYGTCGCATGTGTTCCTGAGGAGGTTAATAATCATCAAATCCCATTTTTAATACCAATGCTCCTCCTCCGTCTCCGCAGACAGACCACTCTGGCTGTTTACATCCTTTCTCTGGCAGGGATGCTGGCSTACACCTTCACCCTGAACCTGGGTCACCTTTGGGTGGTCTTTATCACCGCTGGAGTTTTAGGGTAGGTAATCATTCACCAACAGATACTCTGACCGTGACAAAAATTACAGACTGGTGCTGTATTTAATACAAAAACATACAAATTATAAGTAAAAATAGCTTGAAATCCCTGTCAGACAGCTTACTGTGTTTAAATGTTAAATGTTGACAGCCAGTTTTCATAATTTGACTCATTTTAAGAGAATTGTAAATGTTTTGCAGCAGCTACTGTTTGTTTTTTGCTGTTCAGAAGTAGCTTTTAGTTTGCAAATTTGTAAACTTTGAGTCRCATTCATTTGAAAGCAGAAGCTTCCATCTTGAGATGGACGAAACACAGATAAATTATTAATGTTATTAATGTGAAATGTTTTTGTGAACATGAGCAGTTTAATTCAAGTATACTGTTGAGAAAAATCAAACAGATGAACAGCAACACACGTTTGCAGTTGCTGCAGTTTTGATATTTAGTTATTTTTTTCCCAGACTGCTTCAGTGCTGCTTTGTCAGAACAGAATTAGGTTTCTCAGATTATTCCTCCACTTAGTCTCCATTTTGTTCTTACAGTTATTACTATTTACGGTAAGCTGATTAGTCCCATAACTGCTTTCCGTAGCAATTTCACAGCCTGTTTTTTCTAAATTAATGTATATAAAGTCCTACTTTTATAATTGTAGGACAGTTTCCTGGTGAACCCCTTTTTATTAAAGCTTTAACTGTGGTTTTTAGCYTTTTTTTTCATTTAAGCTTCCATCTTTGTCCACCTGCAGCTTCTTCATGACCGGATATCTTCCTCTTGGTTTTGAGTTTGCGGTGGAGCTCACGTTCCCAGAGTCTGAGGGAACGTCCTCGGGACTCCTCAACTGCTCAGCTCAGGTCAGAGGGGTCTCTGAGGAGCACCGCTCACTGCAGAGTCACCGGTTGAACTGATCAGTCATTTAAATCTTATTTTAGATCTTTGGAATCATCTTCACCATCAGTCAAGGAAAGATTCTTAATAAATGGGGAACCTTTGCTGGAAACATCTTTCTGTGTGTCTTCCTGCTGATAGGAACAATAATTACAGGTAAAACTTTTGGTTTTAACATGTTTTTTTTCTCCTCTTTTAAATAAAAACAGTACTGCAAAGCTTAGTACAATTCAGAACAAACGTGTGCAATTATATAACAAAATTAATTTAAGGACATTGTGTTTTAGTGGAGAGTTTAATTTTAGAGTTAAATGTAAATAACTGAATGAATAAATGTCACCCCYGCTGGCTAATTTAAGATTTAAACTTCATTAAAGTTGCTTTAAGGTCACAAAATGTCTTATTTTTAAAGAATTTTTTTTTAACAATCACCCTATTCTGTTCATTGACAGACACATTTCCAACAAGTTATATTTTTCGTACATAATATCTTTTAAAATCAACACTTTCAAGTTGTCACAATGACCTCATTCATATCATAAAACTGATATTTATGTAAAAATGTGGATTTATAGAGTGGTTGTAAAATTGTGATGCAGGTTTCAACGTTTTTTCTTTTGTTCCTCGAATCAGACTTCTGAATTTTATATGAAATAAAACAGTTTTTGTTTTGTTAAAATCATCAAATATTTACCTCTTCAGTGAAGTGTGATATTTTCCACAGGACTAATCAAATCTGACCTCCGGCGGCAGAAGGCCAACCAGCAGACTGAGGTGCAGACGGTGAGTGTGACTATTTGTGTTACATGTTTCCTTCCTCCAGCACACCTGATTCRGTGACTGAATTACCTCTTCAAGTTCTGCAAAAGCTGTTGGTCACCCATTCATGCGCATCAGGTGTATTGGAGAAGAGAAACCTCTAAAACATGAATTATGGTGGCCCACGAGGATCAGGATTTGACACCCCTGTGTTAGATCGCAGTCTGGCTTTGGGTTGAAAACACTTGGTGTTCCAGCTGCTTCRCTGAAGTTGCTCCCACTGCAGCTGGGGAAACTGACCGCTCTCCAACTCGGCCTATTAAACAGCATGTTCAAGTATTATTTGCTATTAAAGCCTCCTTTTCAATTTAATTCTGCTTTTCATTCTTTAAATGGTTGCATATGAGGGCTGTCAAAACGATATTTTATAGTAATTGCTAAATAAATACGTTTAATGCGGCAATAAAGCAACAAATGAAAAACCAGACAGAAATGAGTTTCRATCCAAAACAAAAAGCCTCTCCGGCGACTCAAAATGAATAAAAATAAAAGTCAACCATTTTAAAGAAAATATCACTGCTGAACCTAATATTACAGTGATAACCAAAAACACCAGAGCTCCTGCACAGCTGCTCATCTTGAGTCAACGAAGTGACTGTTTATTTATTAGTTTGATTCAGTGTGTTTTAACTGATGTGTGTGCGAGGACCTCTGGTGGTTTAGTGGACAAGCTGCAGTACGGGATAAATCTTCTGCCAGCAGGAACTGAATTTGAATTGCTCAGATTGAATCTGAATGTGCATAATTTGAAATTGAAATGTATTGGTGTGAAAATAAATTTCACTAAAGTGAAACAGAATTTAATGGTTTGAAACTGAATTTAAAGTTTTGTATCTGAATTAATTTGCTTTGAAACTGTATTTTGGTTTATTAAAAATTCAGTTTGACTACTTTCACTTTCAGTTCCATAATTCAATTTCAGTTCTAAAACTCAGATTTTTGTGTCACACATCCTGGTCCTTGAGAAAGTCAGCCAGAGTAATCAAACACAGATCCACAGATTTATGTTTCATTTCTGTGATTCCCTTCTGTAATGTAACAGAGTTGATGCAATCCACTGTAAAAGTGACAAAAACAGACAGTTATTTTATTGCAGTGATTAATTTTACCTATATGTAGAAATGTTACATTTACATCACATCACAGATCACATATTGATCAAATGCTGCTGCTGACTGATCCATGAYGGGATGTMARTGTAACATTTYTACAWATAGGTAAAATTAATCACTAAAATAACTGTCTGTTTTTGTCACTTTTACAGTGTATTGCATCAACTTTGTTACATAACAGAAGGGAAACTTCACCAGAGTGAAACGTAAATCTGTGGATCTGTGTTTGATTACTCTGGCTGGCTTTCTCAAGGACCAGGATGTGTGACACAAAAATCTGAATTATGGAACTGAAAGTGAAAGTTGTCAAACTGAATTTTTACTAAACCTAAATTCAGTTTCAAAGCAAATTAATTCAAATTCAAAACTTTAAATTCAGTTTCAAATCACTAAATAAAGTTTCAATTTAGTAAAATTAATTTTCAAACCAATGCATTCAATTTCAAATCATGCACATTCAGATTAAATCTGAGCAAWTCAAATTAAATTCCTGCTGGCACAAGATTTATCCCAYACYGCAGGCAGTGTAGGTGTTTCTGGAGCCCCTGGTGGAGGTAGCATAAACATGACCCCTGTGAGTGATACCCGAGCTATGATTCCAGCCTACAGGGACAGGGTCATCAGTGCAGGACTACGGGGCCACGGGGTTCAGTGGCAGCGACGCCCCCCCTGACAAACCCACAACTTCACTTTAACCAAAACTCACACCTGACAAGGTACGGCGGTATTATAAACCACTGTGTTTAAATGAGAACAAAAGACRGTATGAAAATATATAATTTGTTGGTAAAATTATGATTCACACTGTTACAACTGAACTCTGGTGGTTTATTGGACAAGCTGCGGCACCTGAACTTTTTAAATATAAAAGTTCTCTAAAAGCTCACAGCGTAAATATAATTTAAGGTATTTTTCTAATGTTATAAATAAAATAAACCATCAAGTTTGTGACATCAGATTATCAAAATTTGTTGCAAATTTAAATAATCTTTCAAAATTTCTGCCCCTTTGCATTGCAGAAACTGCCAGCTGATACAGAAGGAGGTAACGCTACACCTGAAGTCCTAAAGGAGAAGAAGTTTTAAGGAGGGTGATTGTCTTCCAGATAAACTTGAATAGATCCAAAACTAAACACTTTACACTTTAGAACTACGCCCTATTKAGCCTTACTTAACCATTAATAAATGGTTAGTTAACATTAAAAACATTAAGGATGATTCTTAACAAGACATAAATGAACACATTTATTAATGCTTTACCTATAAAGGCTAATTACTTCCAAAACCAACATACTTATTGTTAAAATAACACATGAATTTACTACATACTGTGTGTATACATGCTGATATAGATGTACTTTGACAGCATGTGTTAGACATGTGTTAATAGTTAGAGAATGTTTGAACTGATTATGATTTCAGTCTGATTTCCACAGGTGAAAAGGAACTTGTGGCCCTTTTGGGTTTTGTCTACATTAACAAATACTTAAACATAAATAATCTTCACTTTAGTTCACAGAAAGACTCAATTATTGATGCACTGCAGGATTTGTAGACAGTCATTTGAAATGTTCTCTAACCAGTAATACATGTTTAACACATGGTGTGAGAGTACATTTACATGAGCATTTACACATACAGTGGTTTGCAAAAGTATTCATACCCCTTGAACTTTTCCATATTTTGTCACATTACAACCACAAACAKAAATATATTTCACTGGAATTTAATGTGAAAGACCAACACAAAGTGGTATACAATTGTGAAGTGGAAGCAAAATTTTACATGAATCAAAACATTTTTTACAAATAAAAAACTGAAAAGTGCGATGTGYAAAATTATTCAGCCCCCCTGAGTCAATAYTTTGTGGAGCCACCTTTTGCTGCAATTACAGCTGCAAGTCTTTTAGGGTATGTCTCCACCAGCTTTGCACATCTAGTGACTGCAATTCTTGCCCATTCCTCCTTGCAAAACAGCTCAAGCTCAGTCAGATTGGATGGAGAGCGTTTGTGAACAGCAGTTTTGAGATCTTGCCACAAATTCTCAATTGGGTTTAGGTCTGGACTTTGACTGGGCCATTCTAACACATGAATATTCTTTTTTTTAAACCACTCCATTGTAGCTTTGGCTTTATGTTTAGGGTCGTCGTCCTGCTGGAAGGTGAACCTCCGCCCCAGTCTCAAATCTTTTGCTGACTCCAACAGGTTTTCTTCCAAGATTGCCCTGTATTTGGCTCCATCCATCTTCCCATCAACTTTGACCAACTTCCCGGTCCCTGCTGAAGAGAAGCACCCCCAGAGCATGATGCTGCCACCACCATATTTGACAGTGGGGATGGTGTTTTCAGAGTGATGTGCAGTGTTCTTTCTCCGCCACACATAGCGTTTTGCATTGTGGCCAAAAAGTTCAATTTTGGTCTCGTCTGACCAAAGCACCTTCTTCCACATGTTTGCTGTGTCCTCAACATGGCTTCTGGCAAACTGCAAACGGGACTCCTTATGGTTTTCTTTTAACAATGGCTTTCTCCTTGCCACTCTTCCATAAAGACCACATTTGTGTAGTGCACGACTAATTGTTGTCMTGTGGACAGTTTCCCCCACCTGAGCTGTGGCTCTCTGCATTTCATCCAGAGTCACCATGGGCCTCTTGGCTGCCTCTCTGATCAGTGATCTCCTTGTTCGGCCTGTAAGTTTAGGTGGACGGCCTTGTCTTGGCAGGTTTACTGTGGTGCCATACTCTTTCCATTTCCGGATGATGGATTGAACAGTGCTCCGTGAGATGTTCAAAGCTTGGGAAATCTTTTTATAACCTAAGCCTGCTTTAAACTTCTCCAAAACCATATTCCTAACCTGTCTGGTGTGTTCTTTGGACTTCATGATGCTGTTTGCTCCCCAATATTCTCTTAACCAACATCTGAGGCCGTCACGGAGCAGCTGTATTTGTACTGAGATTAGATTACACACAGGTGGACCCTTTTGAGTCATTAGCAGTCAGCAGGCAACTTCTGAATGCAATTGGTTGCACTCAGGGAAAAGGGGGCTGAATACTTTTGCACGTCGCACTTTTCAGTTTTTTATTTGTAAAAAATGTTTTGATTCATATAAAATTTTGCTTCCACTTCACAATTGTATACCACTTTGTGTTGGTCTTTCACATTAAATTCCAGTGAAATATATTTATGTTTGGGGTTGTAATGTGACAAAATATGGAAAAGTTCAAGGGGTATGAATACTTTTGCAAACCACTGTATACACACAGTATATAGATTAGTTTATTCATGAGTTATTAAACATGAATAAACATGTTTTGGAAGTAGTTAACCATTATGGGTAAATAATTAATGAATGTATTAATTTATAGCTTATTAAGTGTGAATCATCCATAATTAATGATTTTAAGGTTAATTAATCATGTATTTATGATTAAGGAAGGATAAATAAGGTACAAACCCATCAATAAAGTGTAAAGCTGCTGTGAACACTGCATGGGTACATCAGGCTGAACTGACACCTGTGATGCTTTATGGACTAAAACCAACAGAACTGCTACATTTGATGTACTGTATGGGTAACAAGCTGCTGAAAGTCCCTCTGAAAGTGCAACTATGAAATCAAATGTTGAACATCTGCAACACTGCACTGAAACACTCTGATGACCCTAACACAATTTTTCCACAGCTTTCACTAACCTCTTATTAGTGTTAAGACGTCACATCTGATCAGTGTTCCTATAAGGTTATGTTGTAGCTGAATTCACATCTTTACRTTAGTGAACATGTTGAGTGCTGCGATGTTTAGAATATACGAGCTGCAGACTGAGGTCTGTGATGTTTCCTGTCACGATGAGGCAGGTCTGTAACCTGCCTGCCACTCAGGACCACCTGAAAGTATTACCATGAGCCCTGCTGATTATAAATACAGATGGATGCTGTGCATCTGAGGACTCTTTAAAGACCGTGTAAAGTAAAATCTAACATTTTCTTTTTTAAACATTATAAATCTCATAAATGGACTGTTGTAAATGAGTACAAATTATCTCAGCTGTATATATTTGAATAGTGGATATATGATTCAATTTGTGTGACAAGGTATCTGTGTTTCAGGATTTTTTWTGGGCGTGTCTTAAAGGGCAGCCTCGTGATGTCACACAGCTGCCTTCAGTATAACCCCGCCCCCTGTTGCTCTAATGGAAAACATTGTTTCCTCGGTTACAGGAAAGTTCAGGGTTGTGGGTGTGGTTTGAGCTCCTCCAGAGKACACGCCCCCAGCATTCCAGACCACAGCTAACTGATGTTTTTTCATTACTTTAACACATAATTTTATAAGGTTAACAGTATTTTTAATTGTTTAAACTTGGCTGGGTGATTATTAACACATATTTCTGTGGTGGGACAACCTCAGAACACACATTTATTTTTACTTTACACGGTCTTTAAGAGGTCAGTTCTGTCCTCATTTTGCAGAAGTGACCTCTACAAGAGGAAGAATGTCAGAATATGAGCAAAGCACAAAAAAGGATATAAAGCCAGTTTATTTTCATTTTGCACATGGAACTTTTTTAATTTGTTGATTAAAAGAAAATCGGTGTGAAACCTGTTTCTGCACATTTTTCATTAACAGGTTTTATTCTCTGTACCATTTAACATGTTCTGTATCTGTGATAAGGTGCTGGTTTCTGTCGCTCAGTGGCATATCTGTGACAGGAATTTATTACATTTAAGGTTTATAACATTTTCTGTGTTCTAAACTGATTCTGGTGACATTAAACATTTTTAGGCTGCAATACAAGCAGTTTGTTTCTTTCACACCTGAATCATGGACAAACTAATGAAAGACTCCTAGTTGTGTCTAAGAAATATTCTATTTAAATCTCATAAGATTGCATTATAAGGAGATGCAAAAATGGGAGATCAAAGGCAAATCACAAGGCAAATTATGAGTTGTACAAAAGGCTGGACACTAAGACAAACATGAGGGGAAAAAAATTAAAATAGATAAGATAAAAGACACTAATACACACAAGATTACACAAAGTCACAGAAATCAAAAAGACAAATTTACCTATTAAAAGACAAATTATACAAATACACAATGACCAAAAATATAAGGGCAGATACACAAAATGGTCACAAGGTACAAAGACAAAAACAGAAACACAATTAACAAAACAAATAGACTACATAAAATGTGTTTAAGTAGGGTCAGAAAACAAACTAATTAGAACACAACACATTAAAACAAAAATCAGTAAAATATGTATTTTTTTAAAGGTATTTACTGATGTCTCAGAATTCTGAATATAATTGATGTTTGTTTGAATTATTTGTTACAACCATCTGCACAACTAAAATACTGACAAAGGTTAAAGCAATTTCAAAATGTCTTTAATTCAAGTATTCAAAAGAACACAACAGGATATTACTGTAAATGTTTCTTCAAAATACAGCAAAAATATGATTAAAAATGTGAAACATTTGTAAAGGTCTGAAGACTTAGTTTAAAAAATGGTTTATTGCTCAGATTTAAAACATTAAAAATATTGAAAGATATTGTCATTGAGCCTAAATTGTGATGTAGAGGTAAAAAATAGAGGTAAAAAATTGCAAACAAAACTTGGTTTACATGAGGATGATAAAACCTCATTGTTTGCTTTTTTTGAATATAAATTAAAAACCAGACCATGTTAATAACTGTAGTRTGAGTCTTTCCATTGCACTGTTAAATATAAAGATGTGTACCAGATTCACTGTATAGAACAAAACTGCACATTTTACAAATTTATATTCCAGCTTATCCTCAAAACAAGAAGCAATAAAACAATGAGTCCCAATTTGTGCTTGTGGTTCATCAGATTCAATAAAAAAAACTAGTTCCTCTTCTTCTGCCRTGCTCCTACTTCCTCCTGCGTTTCTGGAAAACACTGGAATCCAATGAGCATTCCTATAACAGAGAAACCTGGAAAACAAAAAGTTACCAAGGTTGTTTAATTTACCAACAACATTCATTTCCACTGACCTCCACTTAAAATTTTATTTTAAATCTAAAAACAGCGTTACATCATACTTGCAACAATGAGAGGTGCCATCACTCCAATAGTCAGTGGTGCAGTTTTGTAGATAAAAGCTTCAGACAGAAAATGACCCAGTGCCAGCACAAATGTCCATAAGGTGATGTGATACAGTCTGCAGGAGTCAGTGTAACTGCACTTTAATAAGGTGATAAGTGGGGTACCAACATGACCAACAAGCTTCAGAACATAAACTGCCTTACGTTCTGTTCTGGATATCAATGGCACAGGCGCAGCGAATGATCGATGATAACAGAGTCCAAATACCAAATATTCGAGCTTGGAGACCATTCACTGGAATAAGAGGGTGGAAAAAAAATAAGACAAAAACATGAAAAAGTATTAAGACAACATTTCATTTTATTCTGGAATAGTTTCTTGAAGGAGGAAAATCTAATTAATAACTAATAATTGCACTGGAAGTGCAGTGTTGTGGCTCTGTAGGATTGTTGACATATCGTCAGCAGCCGTTAAAATTTTCTTCTTAAACTGCTTTGACCGGACTGTACCATGCTCAACTGGGAGTTCACTTGTTTTTTGTTCCCGCTTCGTTTTTTCTAGGGATTCGAGAAAGTTTTTTAAATTTCTTTATTATTATTGTTATTATTATTATTATTTTATTTTATCTCATCTTCAATGAAGATGAGATCCAATTCTATCGCTCAAGTTTTTCCAGGCCCCGCTTAAATAGGTAAGCATGGGATTATTTTATCTGCCTTTGTTCCAAATTTGATTTTGATCTGAAAGGTCAAAGTATTTTTTTTTTTACTACAGAATAGCAAAATTTAGTAAAATTGTGCTGATGCTCGTCTTCATCACACATTTTGCATGCCATCATTGGCTGAGGGGCTTTGTTCACAAAACAAATATCCACATAGTTTTTAAATTACATTCATTTCCTGGCTTTTCAAAACACATCAAGTTGATTTGATGTTGCATTTAGGTGACAAGCATTTTAACATGATTTTATACCCTTTCTKCTACTTTTACTGGATTTTGCCATGCATTCATTGCTTTTAGGATACAAGATGCTTCCTGCAAAAAGCACAAGGTGAATCTTTTCCGAACGTTAAGGAAATTATCAGCAAAAATAGATGAGGTGAAATAGTCACAAAGGCCCTATTGGTTCAGCTATGAGTTACAGCAGAAATCACAAATTTGATTACATGTAAACAAACATCTATAACTTCCTTAATACTTGAGATAGCCACGTGATTTTGGTGTTATTTTGTAGGGTTTTATATTGTTTTTCTTAATCTAGTTTCAGATTTGATATTGTTGTGGAATAAACATTTTATCCACATCCCTGTGTGATCAGCTTTCCTGGATTGTAAAAGGTTTTTGACTGGTTACGTAATTATAAAATTATGTGCCTGTTTGGTTTTAAGAAAACATATCGATGCAACAAACGGGATTGTGTTTTTAAGTGTGTTGTATAATCTCCATCTGTCATTTTTGCACAGTCAGCTGCTCACCAAACTCCGGCGTGCCCGTGTAGAGCTTTTCAGACAGAAAGCTGTGATCTCTGAAACTCTGCACCGTGTTACCCATGGCGATGACGGACACCATCACCAACCAGCTCCGCAGCACGTTCAGAAAGCGGCTCATCTCCTCTGTCTGTCAGGATCTTTAAAGGACAGGAATCCTACAACGAAAACTACAGCGAGGCATACATATTATTAGCACAGGTGTTTCTTTCATCAAAAAGATACAGTGATAAACTGCAGCTGGAGAGCTWGCAACAGATTACTCATCCAAACAGAAGATAACAATACTGTATACTGATTACAATATATAAGGCAATTCAAATAAGAGATTTGAATGAATTTTACACATATTCACCTGCCGAACTTAGTGTTACCGTCCTGGAAAAAACATAATACTAAAGTCCAAATCAAACATTACCGACGTCAACCGACTAGCTTTTTAACAACTAAAGCACCGTCTTTACCCTAAAGTTGACCAATAAAACAGCACGAGAAATGGGTCCATTTAATCGTACCATTATTGTGATAGGCTCAACTCAAGCCATGGTTCCGCCCATTTTCACGTCTAACCAATAAAAAATGAACATTCAGACAGCGCGGAAAGCTGTTTAGAAACAAAGAGTAAACAAGGCGCAAGAGAGGTATCTGACTGAAGCCTTTGGAAACTGAAGAATAAACATCATCGACCTGTTCTAATAAACGCAATTTTTTTAAAATTTCTGAATTTTCAGCATAACTAGTATAAGTATTAAGCGAACTGTTGTTATATTTCCCCTTGTAAAAAAGTTAGTTGTTGTAGTGCACTTTGCCTAAAATCACATAAATAACAATCCAATCCTACCTAGTCCTACCTCTCTATTCTTATTGTTTTGAGCTATTTCTATCTAAAGTTACAAGATAGTCTGGTCGTGACAACGTTTTGAAAACATTCACACATTTCGTGTAAGATCAAAAAAAAAAAAAAACTGTAGCAAATAATGATGCAATCTGTGGTGAAAACACCTGCTGAATGGATGTGTTACGTCGAGCCGCGTTCAAAATCTGATCACGTGACCAAACACTGACAACGAACGCGCATGCCCACTGCTCTGTTGCTACTCACTCAGTTGTTGTAGTTACCAGGAAGATTACCGCCCAGATGCCAGCTTGTTAGCTGTTAGCAAGCTCCGTAGAAATAAAAGGCAAGGAAGTGTTGGTGTGTTTTCGCATTTGTTTTAGAATACGCGTAATTAAGCGGTCTTATTCATAAGTTGACTTAGACTTCKCAGGCAGTGTTTGTTTATACCGCTACTCAGTTTCCAGTTGGGTTGTCAGTGTTGCAGCGTCTTATGTTTTGCAGTAAGAGGATTTCACAGACGCCGAGGCTTTCACTCTTCTATTTCTGCTCTAATTGATATAATTTACGACTTTGTTAGTGTTCGTTGCGTTGTAAAAGGGCGGGTTGGGCAATAATATATTAATGACCGTGAATTGAAATGATACAACCTTGCTAAATTCAATGTGTCTGACCCCAGGAAGATTTTAGTCTGGTCCTTTTTAATATAAAAATGCCAGCTGTGGTCCAGGAAAAAGAGGATTCTGAATCCTCCTCAGAAGATGAGCATGGGTAAGTAGATTTTCTGTTGAATAAACTTGAATAGTTTTAAAAACTTGCAACTCAGTGATGCTGAAACACCTGAATGACATCCTGAGCACAAATTAATTAATGAGATAACATCAAAATTTAATTAAAGAGATCTTAATTATGAGGTAGTCTGTATATTGTGTAAGCTTCTGTTTTATTATTAATAACACATTAAAATACATGTGTTATGTTAAGATTTTGAAAACTAGGGGACTAAAAGTGGCGTTAATGAAGTGCCACTTTGGTTCTTAGTGTTTATTTTATCATTTCATGTTGTATTTGTAGCAGATTTAAACCTACTTTATGAGATTTTTAAAGATGTTTGACATTATGTGCGTTCAARTTCGTAAATGTTCTCTTTCAAACCTATTTTAATGCATATCTGCACAGCATGTCACAAGCTGTAGAGTTTATTGCTCACAGTCTGTGGACTTTAAGAGGTCCTTTAGTGTCTRTCAGGTTCTTACCTTGCTGATCCTCTTGGCTGACATCACAAGGTTTGTCTTTTAATAGATGATTATTGTGCCATCTTGTTTTGTTTTTTAGACTTAACAAAACCTGTGGATACTTTTAATTTTCTATAGTTATTTAGGATCCAAGCATTTTTTTTTTTGTCGTATCAGCTTTGGTTTGTGGAACAAAATTTGGACTCAAGTCCCAGATTAAGAACCCACTAAATAAATAAATAAATAATGTACATGTGTATATAATTTAAAAGAGTAGAGATGAGCTGAATTAGGTGTAGCCTGAGTTCAGCAGTCTGATGGCTGAAGGGTAGAAGCTGTTTCTCAGCCTGGTGTTTAGTCAGTTCAGAATAGCACGCAGTAAAGATTTATCTGTTTACTGTAGGTATGACAGTTGGTCTTTATTGTGTCTGCCAAATCGCTCCTTTTTRAGTTATTCTTAGTCATGCCTGACTGAATGCCATCATATCTGCTTTTAGGCTACATCTAGTAAAGTGCTTTGGATCGCTTAGAATTGCAGTTGGAGCTGCAGGAGACCAGAGCTGCCTTTACTAGTTATTATTCTGTGAATTGACATCAGACCAGTAACAACACAAAGAAATCCAAAAATAACTCTGCATTCTAACAGTAGTTTTTTTTTCTGTATTGGTTTCACTGTTACTGTAGACCTGTTCTCATATCATCATAGACTTTAATTTAATCAGTTTAAGTGATTCTGCTCAACTCTGACTCAAAGTTATCTTGTCTTTTTCATCAAGAGCATTGAATAATTAATATAAAGTCGATGTAAACGTGTCAGAATTGGACAAMAGTCACTACTAAATTATGTAAAGGACTACACAAGATTTAGTGCCAAATATTACTAATACACAGCAAATGTAAAGCGAAACCTGTGCACTGCAAGTAAATACAGTAGTCACTTGAAAATGGTGAAAACACAAGACTTCAGTTGGACTTAAATTGACAAATTTTAAATCATTGCATACTGTTTTTTTTTTTTTTTTACATTTTACACAGAGCTGCTTGTGTTTTGGTTGCATCTAAGGAGTTGATAAGGTAATGAAGCAACAGCATGTACAGTGGTTTGCAAAAGTATTCATACCCCTTGAACTTTTCCATATTTTGTCACATTACAACCACAAACATAAATATATTTCACTGGAATTTAATGTGAAAGACCAACACAAAGTGGTATACAATTGTGAAGTGRAAGCAAAATTTTACATGAATCAAAACATTTTTTACAAATAAAAAACTGAAAAGTGCGACGTGCAAAAGTATTCAGCCCCCTTTTCCCTGAGTGCAACCAATTGCATTCAGAAGTTGCCTGCTGACTGCTAATGACTCAAAAGGGTCCACCTGTGTGTAATCTAATCTCAGTACAAATACAGCTGCTCCGTGACGGCCTCAGATGTTGGTTAAGAGAATATTGGGGAGCAAACAGCATCATGAAGTCCAAAGAACACACCAGACAGGTTAGGAATATGGTTTTGGAGAAGTTTAAAGCAGGCTTAGGTTATAAAAAGATTTCCCAAGCTTTGAACATCTCACGGAGCACTGTTCAATCCATCATCCGGAAATGGAAAGAGTATGGCACCACAGTAAACCTGCCAAGACAAGGCCGTCCACCTAAACTTACAGGCCGAACAAGGAGATCACTGATCAGAGAGGCAGCCAAGAGGCCCATGGTGACTCTGGATGAAATGCAGAGAGCCACAGCTCAGGTGGGGGAAACTGTCCACAKGACAACAATTAGTCGTGCACTACACAAATGTGGTCTTTATGGAAGAGTGGCAAGGAGAAAGCCATTGTTAAAAGAAAACCATAAGAAGTCCCGTTTGCAGTTTGCCAGAAGCCATGTTGAGGACACAGCAAACATGTGGAAGAAGGTGCTTTGGTCAGACGAGACCAAAATTGAACTTTTTGGCCACAATGCAAAACGCTATGTGTGGCGGAGAAAGAACACTGCACATCACTCTGAAAACACCATCCCCACTGTCAAATATGGTGGTGGCAGCATCATGCTCTGGGGGTGCTTCTCTTCAGCAGGGACCGGGAAGTTGGTCAAAGTTGATGGGAAGATGGATGGAGCCAAATACAGGGCAATCTTGGAAGAAAACCTGTTGGAGTCAGCAAAAGATTTGAGACTGGGGCGGAGGTTCACCTTCCAGCAGGACAACGACCCTAAACATAAAGCCAAAGCTACAATGGAGTGGTTTAAAAAAAAGAATATTCATGTGTTCGAATGGCCCAGTCAAAGTCCAGACCTAAACCCAATTGAGAATTTGTGGCAAGATCTCAAAACTGCTGTTCACAAACGCTCTCCATCCAATCTGACTGAGCTTGAGCTGTTTTGCAAGGAGGAATGGGCAAGAATTGCAGTCACTAGATGTGCAAAGCTGGTGGAGACATACCCTAAAAGACTTGCAGCTGTAATTGCAGCAAAAGGTGGCTCCACAAAGTATTGACTCAGGGGGGCTGAATACTTTTGCACATCGCACTTTTCAGTTTTTTATTTGTAAAAAATGTTTTGATTCATGTAAAATTTTGCTTCCACTTCACAATTGTATACCACTTTGTGTTGGTCTTTCACATTAAATTCCAGTGAAATATATTTATGTTTGTGGTTGTAATGTGACAAAATATGGAAAAGTTCAAGGGGTATGAATACTTTTGCAAACCACTGTATGTATGGTGAACAGCAGCACTGTAGTTCTTGTGATAGTTTATGTTCACAACAAACCAAAAACCTAAACCTTATCAGAATCCTTTATCTGATCGTGTCACCTTGATATCTCAATGAAACGGATATCTTCCACTYTCAGACACACCTGGGCGCTTGGAAGATTGTGGCAGCAGCTGCTCACATTTCGAGCCCCTCCCGCCTTTTTTTTTCTCCAGAGCGGTCATACCTGATTGAGTCCCGCTCCATCATCGTGCTGCCTTATCTTATATTTACCTCGTGATAAGCAGGCTGTGTCTGGCACTGCAAGATAGTCTGGACTTTTACAAGAGGGTTTGTTAGTGCAGTGCATGGGTTTGTTATTTTCCAGCACCTCATAAAACTGTGTGAGGTTCTATCTTTATCTGTACGACTGAAATAAACACAACTTCAAGGTACATTCCCTCAGTGTTAGGTCAGCTGCCCGTAGTATTTTTGAACGCAAAAAAAAAAAGAGAAGAAATCACCTTATTTTTCTGTAGGTTGTATGTTTAAACACATAGTCAATAACTCTTCACTGACTACAGTTTTCTCTCATTTATTATTATTTTTTTTTCCCACAAGAGAGCATCCTTGTGTCACATGGAGCGGCCTCAGCAAGACGATTCCCATTTTCCTATTTTTACCCGAGGCCATTGTTTCCAAAGATAGGATTATCTGCTCTGTTGGAGGTAGAAACTGATAAACTAATGTTGCAATTATTAAGATCTCAGCAGTTGTTCAATTGACCGTTGTGTGTTATAACTGCCCAGAGCGATATAATATGGCCTTCAAGATTGTGCGCACAGAGAGTCGCCTGGTACGAAGAATACTCACCAATCATGGATTCACTGAGGTAATGCTCATCTTTGATTCATGAAAAATTAAGAAAACATCCTTTTTTTGGTTTTGAAGAACGTGTGACGCATTTACATGGCATTTTGCGTTAAATTACCACCATGAATCTGTGTTTTTGTTTTCATTTCACTGCTTTCAAAGCTGTAGACAAAAGAAAAAAATAAGGATTCGTCTCCAAGTGCATTAATCCTGTTTTACGATGGCACGCTRTGCTCATTTATGGCCTCCCCAAGAAGCTACAATCAAATCCCTTTCAATTTTATTTCAGCGCTTCCTGATTCCCAGTAACAAACKATCAAAGACTGACGAGTGTCTACAGCTTTCTGATAGAGCCAGAATAATCATATATTCCAGACATCTGGTATTAACCCCAAACACAGCCAGTATGATCATTAAGCTTCCTAAGAAATCTMTGCAATAAAACAAAGAAAAACAGATAAAGTCATGTGACAGGAATATCTATGAGTTTTGGCCTTCCTTCTTTATTTTTTTTAAAACGCAGGCTATTTTTCTGCACGTTAGCGTTGAAGTGATCTTTTTTTTCAGATCTTTGGCAGAGTTTAAAGGGATCCTCGATTAGTTGTAACATATGACTTTATTTGATAAACATATATTTTGACTGTAAAATGAAGACTGTAAAATACTGTAGTCTGTTTAGTTTTGTAAATTTTTAAAAATATATTTTAACATGGACGGAGCCATTTTATTTACATGCAAAGCATTCTGGGTAAATGATGACGTGGATGGGTCCTCGATGTGAGCGAGCTATATTCACCCTGAAGGTTAATCTTGGACAATATCTGATGATTGACTCTTTTAATTGAAACCAGAGAGTGTTGATAGAGAGGAGAAGGTAGAAATGACTCAATCTGTAACTGAAAATATGGATGGAGGACAACAGAGCTGCTTCATGGAAGAAGAACCTCAGCTTAGCCTGTTAGTCTTTGCACTAGCGCCAACGCTAAATTGCCTTATATGTATTAGCTCAGCGCTAGCACAACAAACAAGCTAAACTGAGGTCCTCCATCCATATTTTCAGTTGCAGACTGAGTCATTTTTGTGTTCCCCTCTCTGTCATGTGGATGGAGGACCTCAGTGACGAGAGGAGAATGTGTAGCACTGAGCTAGAGCTAATATATGGTGATAGCGTCGGGGCTAACACTAAAGCTAAGAGGCTAAGCTGAGGTTCTTCTTCCATGAAGCAGCTCTGTTGTCCTCCATCCATATTTTCAGTTACAGATTGAGTCATTTCTACCTTCTCCTCTCTATCAACACTCTCTGGTTTCATTTAAAAGCCAATCGTCAGATATTGTCCAAGATTAACCTTCAGGGTGGATATAGCTCGCTAGCATTGCACCGAGGACCTATCCACGTCATCATTTACCCAGAATGCTTTGCCTATAAATAAAACGGCCCCGTTTGTGTAATATATTTTTAAACCTTTAGTTTAAAATTATAAAAACTAAACAGCCTACAGTATTTTTAGTCTTTATTTTACAGTTAAAATAAATGTTTATCAAATAAAGTCTAATGTTAAAACTAATCAGGGATCCCTTTTAATGTAACTTTTAGCGCCCACTTACTGTGCATAACATGGGCTGATCAACTTTACCCTGTTTTGATATATTTTCTTTGTCGATTTATGTCGATAAACTGTTTTTCCAGGTTCACCCGAACAGTAATGACTTTAACCTGATGTGGACGGGTTCTCACCTCAAGCCTTACGTCCTGCGCTGCCTTCAAGACTACCAGAAGGTCAACCATTTTCCCAGGTATGACGGAGTGCTGAAGTACATTAGTGCACTGCAGCTGTATTCTGTTTTATAAATATCACGGCTGAGCTTTTCCAACCTCACCACCTCCCCCTCCCCCCTTTGTTCAGGCAGTGTATTTTTTGGCTTCTCCTGGAACACAAATTTAGTTTGGAGCGGTGCCTCTCTGAAGCATGAGATGAATCATACTGTCAGGCAGTTTGGGGGAGGGGGAGTTGTGTAACTGTCATCTATTTATGTATTTATTTTGTCATGTCAAAGTGGAGCGCATTTTAATCAAGAGGCTCTGCTCATTTCCAGGTCATATGAATTGACTCGCAAAGACCATCTCTATAAAAACATCCAGCGGATGCAGCAGACTCACGGCTTCAAAAACTTCCACATAATCCCTCAGACCTTCATGCTTCCCTCTGAGTACCAGGAATTTCGCAGTAAGAGACGCTGCACCGAACTCAGTTGTTCCAGGCAGAGCTACGTTTATTCTGTTTAATGTCTTTTCTGTGTAAAAAAATTATTTCTTCTTTCTCACTCAGATTGTTTTGCCAAGGACAAGGGGCCTTGGATAATCAAACCAGTTGCATCTTCAAGAGGACGGGGGATCTACCTGGTCAGCAATGTGAGTGATGTTACACCTTTAAAACGAGACAGTCTCCAATTGTWGTGTCTTCAACTGCGGACACGACTGTACTAATAGCAATAAAGCATTATAATATATAGTTATTTGAAAACAAAGCTTTCCCCTTTGAGCTGTAGTTTATCATCTCCATCCTCGAGCCTTCAAAGGCCGGTGAGGGTACAAATGTGTGTGAATCTTAAAAAAAAACAGCCACGTTAACAAGTTTGTGTTTTATGTTATGTTGACCTTCAAACCTGCTGTTTAAAATCAAGAACAAACATTCAAACTTAGACATAATTCTATGAGCAATGATGTTATTTTCTCTGTTCACAGCTTGGGTGGTCTCGACCTCCAGCTCGAGAGAAACAGATCTAAATACTCCTTTTTTTATTAAAATGAAGTCGTGTTAGTTGATGCGAATGTACCGTCTGACAAGTGTTTGCCTAGACTGGCAAATAAATCCACTGAAAAATGTCACTGTTGTGTTTGATGTAGAGAAGATGTGAAGCAATACAAAAACAAAAAGGAAGAGCAGACACAAGTTTTCTCTGTTTATGGGAAGATACGACAATTACYAATCAATTCGAAACAAAATGTGTGACAAAACAGCAACAAAACATATTTCAAACAAATACATTGTTTGCTGATGTAATGTAAAGTTCAGTTTCTTCAAAAACTATTTATTTTTGATTTTATTTTTTATGCTTTCCATGATTTTTTTTACATAATTATTTTGT